CCCAGCAACACCGAGACCCTCAACCCCTAAATTCCTCCAATCGCTAACGAGCTCAAATCCTGAGCCTCAATTCTCAATCCATAATGCTGCTCCTAGGGTTTCGAGTTTGGGGCTCCTTCCTGCACCAGCCAAACAGAAAAAAAGCCACAACCACAACTAACTCCCGCACGACCTGCAATCCCCAACTCCTCTCATGATCCCGCATGTCTATCCCCTAAACTCAAACCCAACGAAACATAAAAACCAGGTGCGGTAGGATTGCAAGCCGGGTTGTAGCCACACTACATGGCTAAGATACTTTACCTTGCATGACGCACGGACAAGGTAGCCTGATATTCTAATTGAAAGGACTTATAAACCCTGCTAAACAATCTGTGCAGCTGCATAAGGCCTTTTGCAATGCCATATAATAGACTTCAAAGCTGACCAACCGGATGACACATCGAGATTTGAGTAAATTCTGTAAACCCTAAACTCCTAAACCCGAAACCATAAACCCTTCTTATGGATTATGGAACCCTTGTTGATTCCTTAGAGCACCCTTACAAGTCCCTTTAAAGGGACCGCTCGAAACCATGCCAGGCCTTCGTGCCAGAACGCTCTGCCGGCGCTCGTCCCAAGACACCGACTGAAGGGACTCGCGGGTACCTTCGTATGGTTTTTGTTGTTCATATCTCTGGTCCCTATCTATGTCTTTGTTGGGTGTGTGTTTGTGTGATTTTGAGGGTTGTTTGCCTTCTTCGTGCACATCGGTTGGGGTTTGGAACTTTCGGGCCGGGATTAAGGCTTCAGGGTTTAGGCCTTTAGCCTTTAGGATTAGGGCATTCACGGCCCTGGGGTTCAGATGTCCCTGGAGGCCCACAGGTACAGAGGCTTGTTTGAGGCTGAAATCCCACACCTGAAAGGATTTTGGGCTAGGTAACCGGGCACCTTACAGCAATGAGGGCATTCAATGGGGGAGTTTCAGCAGCCGGATACCCGGGAATCCCTGAAACCTACATTGTCAGCAGGCTTTCGGACCTTGTTTTCTTAGACTTAACTAACCGCGACGACCATAAGGTTTCTGCTAGAAGGCACTCGGAGCCTCAGGACATCCCGCAGAAATGAGAGGTGTTGCGAAATTTGGACTTGTCAGCTTCGGGATTAAGTGCTCAAAGGCGTTGAAGCTTATTGGGCGTAACGGAGATTATGAATGCATTGAACCAGACAGCCTGAGACCCTACATCCGAAACCCCCAATTCCCGAAACCCTCACGGCCGACCCTTGAAAACCCGAAAAAACCTGAAACAGAAGGAACCTTTATACGAGCCCAGGCGCTATAGCCACTGATAGACGACTTCATGCCCACGGATTTTGCAGAACGAGGCGACAAGGAGTCGAGATCCTGTTTGGGAAATTGGCAAATCCCGGCGCTAAACCTTAAGCCTTGAACACCTATACATCCCGAAGCCCTCTCTCTAAACCTAAACGCTCAGGATTTTCCGGCTGTGCATTCCGGAATTTGGGCGTCTACGGGTTTACGGTTTAGCTTCAGGGTCGAACGGCTGATGTTTCGGGTCCAAGCTTTGTGAACTAGCGGGCAGGTACCCAGGTCCAAGGTTGTGATGTTGCGATGTCGGGTGTACACATTCTGGGCATGCAAGGCCCCCTTGCACGCACGTGGGTCTACTTTTTGCCACTTCAACAGAAAAATGAAGTTCTGCGGCCGACTTTTTCTTTCACGCCAATTGGACACGCATCACATCCAATCAGTCGGCGGTTCCGCATTGGCAAAACAATCATCTAGCTTTCACTTACGGTAACGGCTGCAGCATTTCAGAATGAGAGCCTTTGGGATCATCCAAATGACTGCGACTCAGTCCTGTACTGCGACTCTGGTCGTGTTCTCAGCACCAGTACGCACCACATATCTTCAGGGGCTCTTATGCCGTCTTCAACAAGCAGCAACCCAGCACAAGTTTCGGTTCACAAGTTGGTCTCAAATTGGTCGTGCCAGCTCCGGGCGGTACGAGGAGTATGGGCTTCTCTCGAACTGCCCCTAAGGGTCTCCATCGCAAGCCCCTGAATCTTGACGCGCGAAGCCATCCTAAGTCCAAGCTAAATGGGCTGCTGGCCCTGAACTTGAAATTACAAGAAGACACCGACCTGATGCGAATCAGAACCTATGTACTATAGGTACTAAGCCACTAAGCCCTTCATTGTTTATGTGAGTGGGGTTTAGAGTTGGGAGATGGCGGCGCAAGATTTAGCATCGAGGCTTGGCCGACGTTGACGTTGGGGTGCGTCCGCATGGTTAAGCGGCAGATTTGAGATGACTGCACCAGTGGTACAGGTTACTGTAAACATGCGGTGTTGTTGGGCATGCCAGAAGACACCAAGAACTACTAGAATAGGAGTTGGGGTATGCATTGTGCTTTTCCTGTTTGGGGGTTTCAAGCTAAGGAAATACTATTCCTTCAAATTTAAGAACCAGACCCCCAACCCTATGATTGAAGTGCCTTGGGCCGAATTCAGGGTTCAAGGGACTTATAGTACGTGTGCAGGCTACCGGCAATCGGAGGTTACAAAAAGAGAAAGTTCAAGATGATATAGCCGGAGCAGGTAGGAACACGATTCCTCAGGGTTCCTTCTAGTACAGTCTCATATGCCCCCGAACCCTGTTCCATTCAGAAAGGCCAACATTACTTAAATCAACATCTACTTTCCAAGTCCCCAGCTCGTTATACTTTGACTGGCCTGCAGCTGAACACACACCCCCCAAGACAGTGTCTGAACCAGAAAAGCCCTCACCGTAATGTAGGGACATCAATAACTCGCCTCCGCCCCGGCCGAAGCGGTCAGAGGCTTTTAACAGGGAGTCCCTGTTTCCCCCCCTGGTCCCCCCCTCCACCCCCCCCCCCTTCCCCACCCCGCCCTTGTCTCTTGTTGCGGTGAGGCAACACGGGCTAGCTTTCATCATTCGTGAAGCTGATGCCAAAGCCTGGGAATTCTGGGGCTTTGCCTCGGTACTTCGTTGCAAAGCTTGATTCCCTTCCAACATATGGGAGGTTGTATACGAGGCCAGTGCGAGGTGTGATACGATTATCATATTGACTATGGGACAATGCGGGGAAACGTGTCACCTTTCGCGTGGGATTATTGCTCAGAGCCTCAGCATGCAAACAAACACTGACAGTAACAAATATTATGAAGCAAATGCGCTCACTCACTCCAGACCTCACCTGTGCGGCCTACCTGTTGCTTTCCGAAACATGCGCCCGCTTCAAGTACAGCCGGGCCGAGGCGGACGATACGAAGCGTTTAAAACACACCAGAAATTAAACAGCATTGGTCATTATTCACGCCCGTACATCATCTTGTAAGGTCCTTACCGACGGCTTGGACTTAGGGCTTTCGTGTCAACCAGACCTCTGCTTTTCTCTGCTGACTGAACTCCCAATTTCCTAAACACCTGAACCCGGGAAGCCCAGTTTTAAGCCTGGTATCCCGCATACTACACTTGCACTAGCCAAGTCTATTTTGAGGGGCTTGGGGCGGAACGTGATTACTCATTTGTCTGGACACTATACTAGAATGGCCTGCAGACTTTATAACTCATAAGAGTATCAACACTGTGAACCCCCTCGGCGGCTTCGGGGAATTTACGGGGTTTTGAGTTGGTTTGGTAACCGCCAAAAAAAAGCAGAATCACGAACGTCATTGCAGGGGTGGTGAAGCATAAACGCAAAGATACCACCACCACACAGATGATCACTACCAGAACAACCCCTAACCCTCCAGGTACCTACTATATAGGGCCCTGGGGGCTCCAGTACAGTATATAGTAGGTACCTGGGGGGTTTAGGGAACACTCGTATCCTCAGCGTTCAAAGCCTGCGGATCATGTCGGAGTTCGACGGAATGAGGGAACCTTGATATTATTCGTATAGTATCCATTGAGTCTCCGTTGTAGTTCCGTTTTTCGGTTTGTCCATTTCTACATTTAAGGATCTTACAACGAACAAATTCCTGAACCTTTGCAAAACCCCGGTGAAAAGCAACAAACATTTATGAAAACAAAAACCCTCGAACAACCTTAAATGATCACCCCTAAACCCTACAAGTGCTGAAACAACTGAAACTCCTTAAATCTAAATAAACCCTATAAACTCCATAGGCACTGAAACAATAAATCTGAAGCCCTTAAATGAACGCCCCTAACCGCTAAACTGTACACCCTTCGGGCACTGAACAAAATAACTGAATCCCCTCAAATGATCGTCCGCAGACCCGAAACCTTAAGGACTAAAAAACCTTTGAAAGTAAGTGTCCTCTACTATGAACCCCTAGATAGTCTATGGACCCTAAACCCTTTTAGGGCCCATTTGGGGGTTTCCGACCCTAAAATAGTACACTAAATAGTAGGATCCTTATTATAAGGACCCCCCCCCAAAAAAAAAAAAATAGGTCCCCTAATTTTCGGAAATTGCCATTTCGTCTTTAAGGAGCTCCTTCTTCGAGGCCTCCCTCTGTTCCCTGGCGCGCACCATGTCGATGAAGGCTTCGATGCCAGCACGGCCTCTTCTGTTCAGACAATCCCCTACTCCCTTAGGCAAAAGGGCTTCGCAAAGGGTTTTATTCTAGGGGCGTCATGGTGTTATGCATGTCAACATGAACTTTTGCATATGATCCAATGGACCTCAATACAAACGAAAAGGGTTCAGTGTAGCAGCATCATTGTAATGTGGGTTATAGTCTCTGCGGAGTTTGTGAATACCAGAGACTTCCCTTACACACTTCCTTTAGGATTCAGGTTTCAGAGTAGAGGGTTCAATTCGCAGACAAATTCCCGGCAGAGTTTATAAATCAATTTCCCTGGATGCAGGGGGGGGGGGGGAAGTTGGAATTAGTGCAGTGCTGCTTGTTTCGATCACGTTTTAGGGGTCTTCGGATCTATAGCTGCACAGCGCAGAAGGTAGCAGGAGGTTACAGACAGATGCCCTGGACATCTCCATGTCAGTTCACGCCACCTTCTCAGACGAATCTCTGACCCGAAGTTCCAGGAAACACCTTCCTGACAAAAGCCATCGGGGGCGATTCGACTTATGATTGAGGTTTAACTGTAGTATCACTGTATCTCCAGCCCCACTGTGACATGCCACATCCCGAGTTACGGTCTGCTCCTAAACCGCTTATCTACCAAAGTTCCCGAAGGCTTAATAAATCGTGCACCTTTGACAGGATCCCTGCACACTGAACCCTAAACCCAAAGCCCTAAACTCGAAAATCGCAGAAGCAACGCTCAAGACCCAAGGACCAAAGCCCAAACCCCCAAAACCCTTCCCCCTAAGCCCCATAACCCCGCACCTTTCAGCTGCAAGCATCGGTTTTGTAGGTTTTCCACATCCACCAGCGAGACGGTCTCACGGCCTTGGGGACCGTCAACCTGCATCTCTGGTTTCTCATCGGGCTTCAAAACGGCTTACGGTGCTGTTAAGGGGGTTCTATAATTCAGTTTCTATAGGGGCCTTCATAATTAACATGGGATCTCGGTTATGATGGTATAGGAAAGTACACGCAAAAAGGGAAGCCAAGGGCATAGCATTCTTTTCCGGCTTCTGTATTATTGGAACATGCCCCTCCATCCTCAAAGTGGAATCAACAACGCCTTCCACATTTCGTGCAGCCAGAACAAATCTCGGGTGTAGGGTATGGGGAACACCCTAAACCCTAAACCCCTGCACTCTTCACACAAGCCGTCCCGAAAGCACACTGGAGTACGAAGATCTCGGCCCGGAAGGGTTTTCGGTGGCATTATCAGGGTTTGCACCGACCGTATGTAGACCCCTGGGTAGTTTAGTGTATCGTCATGTCAAGTTTCAAACCCAAACTTAACATCAGAGACCCCTAACTCTCAGCAAAACAGTCAGCTCCACAGACCTTTCAACTTTCAAACACGAAGGCAAAAGACACACACACACACAGACAGACACGAAAGCCACTCAACATCCATTCAGATCACAGCCAAACCCCAAAAAAGTCCGCACCCTCAGTCCTGAACAACAAAAACCTAATCATGCGGGTTTAGGGCTGGATACCTTCAACTTGTCTAGCTACACCTGAATCCGATTTTCCAGAAGCTCTTGAGCCAGGGCCCCAAGCCGTTTCCGTCAGACCCTTGTCCCCTTGCCTCTATCGTGTCGCTACCTTTCACGCCCTCTACATCTTGCATGGCCGGATAAAATCGAACACTTAACCCCTTCTGAAGTCGCTCTGCCTTTTCCCTAAGCCCCAAGACATGTATATATATATATATGTATATATACGTACTTTTGAAGTCTTTCGTCTTTCCCTCCCCCCTGTTCGGCCTCCACGGGATGCATGGGAATGCTTGCTGCCTTCTCGTTGTCGCCGTCGAAGCGCCGCCGATTTTCGATGCGCAGGGCCACCTCGCCATCGGCAGTTTCAAGGTCTCGGGGCTTTAAAGGTTTCAGGGTGTAGGAGTTTCAACTTTAAGGCTTCATGGCTTCGGTTTTGGTACGGCTGGAGTTTAAGATTCGCCCCAAGCCCTAGAAGACCCTCGACCATGCACAGCCACAAAAGAGCCCCCACCCCAACCGCACTAAACAAGGGCCAATGGCTCTTGCCCTAAACCCTAAACCCTCGGGTTTTTAAGGATTTCGAGCTATGAGACGACTTTCGGCCATCACTGTGTGTAGTCTTCCTTATGGCTCCTGCTTATAAATCTACTGAACTTAGTTCAAGGGAGCCCAAAATCCCTTCTCTAGTTATTGAAGGCCCTGTACCCTATACTATTGGAAAGCTGTTGCAGTGGCATGACTGACTGCACATGCTAAGCCCAAGTCGGCCCAAGTTCTCACTAAGCCCTCGTCCTCCTAAACCTTGAGCCCCAAAACTCCTAAATCCCAAAACTTGGCCCTAACCCTAAACCCTAAACCCTATAAAGCCTAAACCCTAAGTCCCTAAACCCTAAGCTTGGCCCTAAACCCTAAAATCCTAAACCCGCATCGTTCAGCTCTTGCAGCCCCAGCCTCGAAACAGGAAATGCAACATAACCCTAAGGGTCCACATATACTACTATTATGGAATTAGGTCCCCAAAAGCCATAATATGAATGGTCTTTTGGGACCTAATTCCATGATGGTAGTATATATATATATATATATGGACCCTCTGGGTAAGCCCCCAAAACCTCTCAGGATCCTCTCAAGGTATCCGCACTTCATGGAGCCCTTGTGGCCCTAGGGGTGGATGGTCTAAACCCGTTCATAAACCCTAAACCCTACATCTCCAAAAGAAACTCAAACCCCTAAATCCTAAATCCCTAAACCCTAAATCCTGAGTCCCTAAACCCTAAACCCTAATCCTAAACTTCGGGTGTCCTACGCAAAGGGTTGTTGATGGCTCGGCCTTCTTCTTGGGGTCCGCGGCCTCCTGCTCCCGCTTCCGGGCCTTTTCTGTGTATATGTATGTAGGGTTTAGGGTTTAGGATTAAGGGTTTAGGGTTTAGGGTTTAGGGATTTAGGATTTAGGGTTTAGGGTACGTATGTATGTGTTTATCCATTTTCACGTTTGTTCTCTTGAAGCTTGCGGTTTGGCTTCGAGTTGATAGGACTGACTTAAGATTCAGGGTTCGAGGGGTTTGGGAGCATCTTCGGGCTTATCTTCTTCCGGCGGCGGCTTCTTGGGATGAACCCTGAAGCGTACGGCCTGGAGCTCTCCCCACGGGGCCATGGGATTTTCTGCGCGGGGTTGGGCAGCTTTACAGACAAACCTGTCGAGCAAAAAACGAATGACGAAATCTTATAATTAACCCAGAGGGTCCATATACACTACTATTATGGAATCAGGTCCCAAAAGACCATCCTTATGATGGCTTTGGGGACCTAATTCCATAATAGTAGCATATATGGACCCTCTTGGTAAGACCTCCGACTCGGAATGCAGCCCTGAACCCGCATGATTCGGCTTTTTGGCTTTATGTTTAGGACTGAGGGTGCGGACCTTTTTTTGGGGTGTGTAGCCATTAGTTTCGCAGGGATATACAGGGGTTGTAGGTTGGGCGGGATCTGGATGGATGTTCAGTGGCTTTTGTGTTTGTCTCTGTGTGTGTGTGTGTCTTTGGCCTTTGGCCTTCGTGTTTGAAAGGTCTGTGGAGCTGACTGGTTTGCTGAGAGTTCGGGGTCTTTGATGTTAAGCTTGGGTGTCAAACTTGACATAGACCCCCTAAACCCTATAAGCCCTCTAAACCCTGTAAACCCTGTAAACCCTATAAACCCTATAAACCCTCTAAACCCTGTAAACCCTATAAACCCTATAAACCCTAAACCTACCGTCTTCGCGCTATCCGCCTTGCGCTTCTCCTCCTCCTGGAGACGCTTCTCCTCCTCGCGGCGCTTTCGCTCCTTCTCCTCGGGGCGCTTTACTTTCTTTGTTTCTTCTTGGTTGCTTTATGGTTTAGGGCTTTTAGGGTTTTTAGGGTTTATAAGGGTTAGGGCTTTTAGGGTTTAGGGTTTAGGGTTTAGGGTTTCGCGTTTAGCGTGTAGCGTTTAGGGTTTAGCTTCTGGGTGTTGAGTTTCAGGGCCTTAAACACAGTAGCTTAGTTGCTGAGTTGCTACAAGCACACAAAAGTGTAGACTTTCAGTGCTATAAGGGATCATCTTATCCCCCAAAGAGTGTACACTTTCAGTTCTATAAGGGATCATATTCTCCCAACAAGTTTCAGGTGTGCTCACTCAGCTACTAAGTGCTTCAGGCTTGCGGATTTGGAGTCTGGCTGTATAAACAAGGGAGACGGCTGGGAAACATAGGTAATTGCCCTAATCCCTGAACTCGAAAACCTTCAGCTCTAGGTGCTCTAAGCCCTATATAGACCCTAGAAGGCCAAACACTTCTAAGCTCTACCTGGACCCCAAAGAACCTACCTTTTTAGGATTCCTTATCATGATTTCTTTATGTAAGTCCTTAAGAAGGTAGGTTATTTGGGGTTAAGGTAGGCCCCAAAAAGCCCCATACCTAAACCCTAAACCCTAAACCCTAAACCCTAAGCCCAGCTCCTCTGTCTTGGAGCGCCAGTTCTCGAAGCGGATGCTGCGCGCCATGTCCTCTAGGCGATCGGTAACGCCTCGGACATCGTGTCCGAAAGCTTCAGACCTGGGTCTTACTCAGGGCTCCTTTAAGGCTTCCCTAAATCCTAAACCCTAAACCCTAAACCCTAAACCCTAAATCCTAAACCCTAAATCCTAAACCCTAAACCCTATATAGACGCTAAACCCTGATCCTTAAAGGGATCCATGAGGCTTTCAGTGTTCCTTTGAGACTTGAAGGGTTCCATCCTCTAAGGGATTTATGAGCGTCGGGGGTTCCTTTTAAGGCTGTAAGGGTTCCTGTGAGGGCTCCTTTTAGGGTTTGGGGTTTAGGGTTTTTTTTAGGGAACCATGAGGCTTCGAAGAGGGCTTAGGGTGTCAGGTTACGCTCCAGCTTCAGCAAACTCAAAGCAATATGCCGTAGGCTCCTCTGTGCGAACGCAAGGCAATGCAACAATTGTCTCCCTATGTCATCATGCACCCCCCAAAACTCTAAGCCGTAACTTAAAGCCTAAATTTGAAATCCTAAACCCCCAAGCAAACCCGACACAGACTGAAGTGAGCCTAAATCCGAAACGCACGCCACCAAGAGGCAGGACCTCGAAGCTGTCGAGTCTATCTGCTACCAAGCCCGTCTCTGCCACGTTCTCGGACCTCTCCGTCCTTGCCACAATCTCACCTAAACCCTATAAGCCCTAAACTACGTTTAGCCCTAAACCCTTGACAATTGCTTAACCCTGAACCCTCTAATTGTAAACCCTAAAAAACCCTTGACATCGAACCTACTCCCAAATCTCACCCCCCAAAAAAACCTCTCTGTCCTTTCCATCATCTGCTCCGCCAGCATCTGCCTCCTGCGGTTCTCGCGCCGGGCCACCGTGGAAGGTCGCCCCGTGCCGGCTTTCAGGGGCGGCAGAATCAGAGAATCCGAGGCGCTCTTCTGGAGTCCGGGCCCCGGAGTGCTAAGGGAAGGCTTCAGAGAGACGGGGGGGATGCCGATCGGAGAGCCGAGTCCAGAGAAGCTCCCTTTGCGCATCAGCTGCCGCCCTGTCTGCGACACGAGGCCTGTCACCGGCCGAGCTGACGTCGGGGCTCCATTCGGAAGATGCATACTATGACGCCATGAGGCACCGGGAATCTGGAGCACTCTCTAACAGTCTATCGCTACTCAGCGAAAAATAGCCTCAGCTTGTTTTGGCAGTATCTCACATATATAATATATATATATACACATATATATATATACATATATATATATAGAGATAGATAGTCTGCTGAGGCTGAGCACCATTGCAGCACGACGCAATCTAAGGAATCCCGGAATTCTTGTGCTGCTAAACCTGGGACTTGTCAGATCTTGCCTTTGTTGTGCCGAGGTCCTTCGATGTCACATGCCCATCCTGATTCCATACTATATTGCATGGAAACCATATATATATATATGATTATATATGTATAATGAATATGATTCCTGACGAGCTATATAATGCCATAAACTCCCATGGCTCTAACTTGACAAGATCTTATGTACTCACCAAGCGCTAGATAGCCGCACTTGCCGAGTTGTCTTAGACAACTCGGCTTTTCCTGCGGCCTGGTTCTGCCTTTGGCAAAGTATGCTTCGAGCCCACACGGCAGGACAATTGCGCTTGGATGGGCTTGGGGTCTAGTTCAAGATTTCGTTCTTGCTCTGCTCAGAGTTTTACCTTACGGGTTTGAGGGTGAAGGGTGAAGGGAGCTTGCGGTGCTGGTTATCCAGAAAGCCATGCAAACAGTCCCCTAAACCCTAAACCCATAATTGAGGAAGCCATCTCCTACTACTGCTACTACACCCTAAGCCCTAAGGCGTTGAAGGACCCGCACCCGTGCTATCAACCCGAAGTGCAGCCCAAAACTGTAGACATGTCTTGTCCTTGGGCCTCGGGTTTAGGATGGGATTCAGGAGCTGAGGATTGCGAAGTTACCAGCATATGGTCCGCGCCCGGTCATCAGGGAGTGGAAAAAGCTGGGCCACGACATTTCACCTTATACTACATACTACATACTATATACTACAATGACTAACTACTTCATACCATATACTAATCAACATATACTGTATACTAGCTCCCTAACCCTCTTACATATCTTAAAATCCCGGAACCCTTCCTAAACTTTGGCGCCGTAAAACAGTATACTCTGCTGCAGCTGATATTTCTTGAGGCGGGTCTGCACAGCAAAACCGTCCGAGGCCCTGAATCTCGGGACGCAGATTACTTGTCCGAGTGCGATACCCGCAGGTAATGAGACAACAACCGCCACCATCGTCATCATCGTCATCGTTATCATCATCATCATCATCACCATCACCATCATGATCATCATCATCACCCTTGGCAAGCTTTATCTTAAACTTCTTCATCCTCATACATATTCAAACCCATAGCCATCTTCCGCACAACCATCGCAATCGTCAGAAGCCATGACAGAAACAGCCTTCCTGACAAAGCCTCCTTCAACCGAACATCCGATGGAGACGCGGACACTCGGAGAAATGCAGCGCAACAAGCCTCTGAATCTTAACCGCAACGGGCCCATGGCCCGGGATGTTGAGACAGTAAACCTGGGGCTGTGCATTGTGGACTTAGATGGGTTGAGTGCTTGAGGTGTAAGATGGAATATGCATGCGTTGTTGTTGACCAAGCCCGCCTTGTCATACGGGATTCAGCCCGGTCAAGGTAGCGTAGAAGTGGAAGACGTGCACCGCTACCCGAATCGTGAACCACAACCCTGCCTGTCTGCAGTCTGAAAGGTGTTGGATTCTGTTGGATTCTGCTCTGCTGTCAGTTCTCCAGCTGACAACTCCCTCCCGATGATGCTTCAAGGGGTGTCAGCTGTCTAGACCACTATCGCCCAAGACTTGACTTGTAATTGACGGGGGAAAAAACTTGAATTGAAAGGCACTGAGCTGACAGGCAGAGCACTGAGAGAGCTGCATGCATGCTGCTGTTGCGTGGAAGATCGAGCTTTTGGTTTCAAGCACCACACCTGCTTCTTCAGGATCTATGGCCAACGGCATCTCCCTAAAACGCCGAGTGGGTGAACTCTGGATTTCTGATAATCCCTACACTGCCGACCCGGAAGACTCATTCAACCAAAAGCTGATTCCTACGAAGAGGAGCCTTAAGCGCAGCCTCCTGTCGTCTCGTCTTGGAGTACTCTTTCTATGATCCTCGCCAAAAAAAATAATGCAAAACCCCCTGTCATCCAGAATCTTAGGCTCGACATGCCCAGACGGCTAAAAACCTCAAAACATCGAATCCTACTGCCAGAGCCTGATTCTGCCATCCTGAAACCCCCCTTTTGCTCGGCAAGCTGGTGATTTCAACCCACGAAATCTCTTAGGCTCCCAAAGCACACACCTCAAGCAAGACACCCCCAAACCTCACAATCCAAGAAGGCCTGAAGCAAAACAGCCAGGCAACAGCCCCCAAACCCTCAACCGAACCCTCCACCCATCCACCCACCCACCCACCCACCCACCCATCCAAAAACAGAACCAACACCAGCACACGCACACACACACACAAACAAACACACACCAATCCTAAACCCTAAACCCTAAACCCCAAACCCTAAACCCCAAACCCCAAACCCGAGCACCAAGGGCCTCACCTGGCCCAAGGATGCAGCTGCCCGGGGGTTCTCCGGTAGCCGGGCCTTACTTCGGACTCCCGGGGCTTCGTCACGGGTGGATTTCGGATTTAGACTCTACCCATAGGCCCCTAAGTAGTTTAGGGCTTAGGGTTTAGGGTTTGGGGTTTAGGGTTTAGGCCCCTAAGTAGTTCCTTTTCGGGATTACCTTATAGGATTCTAAATATAAACCACAAAAAGGAACTACTTAGGGGCCTATGGGTAGACAAAAAGCCGATCAGCCGATCGGCTGATGCGCAGTTTTGAAACCCACTTCGCGAGCACAATGCAAAAAAGCTCTGCCCAAAATCAAAGAGAGACTATAAGGGTTCTATGAAGGTTCTGGAAGGGCTCTGTAAGGTTTCCAAACTGAGGTCAGCGAACCAACAGACATCCTAGTTTTGAACCCCTAACGACGGAGCCCAAAGGGAATGAGATCTGCCTGGCTGCTGCATATATATATATATACTGCCGTAAGATGCTTGCAAGGGGTGCAAGTTGCCAGAAGAGTGCTGTACATAAATCACGGCTCTGGTTCGGCAACAGGGCTCTACAAGGATTCAGAGGATTTGTTTGGTCTCGTTCCTGCTAAGGGTTTAAGGCCTGGGTTTCAGGAGTCGGGGCTCAAGGTGAATAGGGGTTTAGTGACGATCGCAGTTTCCTGCAAATCAGCTTTTGTGCAGGGATGTTCAAGGAGGTACGGGGTGGCGGACATCGGGTTTAGGATTGTGGAATTTGGCCTTAGGATTTGGTTTCGGGGCACTGTTTCGCTTTTAGGTTATGTAGCTGTAACATGTGTTGCGAGAATCACGCACTACCGCCATGCGGTTTAAAGCTTGCAGTTTCCAGCTCCTCTTTAACTGCCGTGTGCTCGTTCCTCCCTGCCCCAACAACAAGTCGCACCCACAAGACGAGAAGATGTAAGAGCGCCACCGCTTGAACAGCCGCCAGTGCACTTTGTTGGCTCCGGGTGCTCTGCCACTCCTGCATAGCTCCGCCATGCATTGAGAAATCAGGAGGCCTCCACCCCGAAGAGCTTAAATGCTGAATTTCTATCCGATCCGAGCCTCCGAGGAGGAACCTTCAAGGCCTACGTGCGTTGGCAAACGCGGTCTTGCACAGAGTTTTTGTTGGCTGTCACCTTAGAAGAGGCTCGCACTGCAAATCCAAATCGGCACCTTTGTGACTCTGAGTCGGTTGTATTCATGATGGGCTTACTAACCCTAAGGGTCCATGTACCCAAATAGTAAATACTTTTTAATGTAGTCCCTATATAGGTACTTTGGGGCCAAAGTATATACTATTTGGGTACATGGACCCTTTGGGGTGAGGATTTGGGCTCCGTTATGGCATCTGCGAGAACCTTCCTACATTGAGAATACTGGTTTCAGCAAAGCAGAAGGATGAAGCTAGTATAAGTTCCTTAATGATTACAGCATGGTGGTCACCGATTTTGAGGTATAAACTACCGTATAAGCATGTGGGAACTGTAGGGGAATATTGCTACATTTACACGGACAGGAAACGCACATATGTTGCGTAGGTTCTCCTTTTGCGAGCCTTTCAGATACCAGAAATCCGAAGAACTATAAACGGCAATAGACTTAGACACATAAATGCTCCCTAAATACCAGAACCTTAACTGCTATATGAGCCCTAAACCCTATGTTATTCTATTCTGATGTCCGCACTCTCCTAGTCTAAACTCTGATCTCACAACTCGACGCCTAAAAATCGGAGTTTCTATAGTGGGAGCCATAAAGTTGGATCATCATGATCCTCATGCCCTTAAAAGTAAAGTATAAGGGATCCTAGCACAAATCCGTCCTAAACCCATCTTCCAACTGTCTGGTCCTCTAACATCAGAAACTCTAAACCCTAAACGCGAACATGAGCTCAGTCTAACATGAGCCCAGAGACCCGATACTTTGCTCATGACTGCCTATAGAGGGTTTCGGGCTTAAGGTCTGGGTTCAAGGGTTTCAGCTTTGGGGTTCAGGGTTCATTCGGGGCTCCATATGGCTCTCTATCAGGGGTTCAGGACTTTAGGACTTTAGGGGTTTAGGGTTTGGGGTTTATGACTTTAGGGTCTATAGGGGTTTAGGGGTTTAGAGTTTGGGGTGATGGTTCCACGGCCCAAATCCCACACAGAGCAGCCCGCCTTTTGCAAGGTTCTGTCGGCGGCCTCGTCGGTGAGTGCTGTTAGGCTTTATAAGCCTAACGGCCTTGAGCTAATAGAGCGGGGCCTTAATAACGACAATAGGGTTTGGGCATATTTTAAAAGTATGACGATAACAAAGAAGTTTTAGGAAGAAGATTCGCAATCACACAGGCCTCTATATAATGCGTGTTGGCTTTAGTTGTGGGATTAGCTTCATCCTCTGCGCGCGGCTTGTAAAATCAAGTGGCAGTTTATGCTGTTCAGGGTAGGGTCTTGAC